TCAGCATGGGGGTGAGTAGAAAATGAAGGCTAATCATGTTTTGGGTGTACTATTCCTTTAAGTGCCAGTATCAGCATTATTTTTTACCCCAAAAAATGTGTTTCTTTCACTCTCACAGAGTTTTTCATGAATTTCTCAAAGAAGCCCTTTTGTTATTTTTCTTAATATATTAAGGGAAGTTGGCGTTTCTTGTTTTTACTTTGACATTAATTTTTGCCATCAAAATATCCATATTATTTGAATGTTACAAAGCTAATAAGGTCTTGCCTTGGATTCTAAAAACAAACTTCACTGAGTTCCCTATAAAGGGTGAAGTCAGAGCACAAATATGAGCATCTCCACATGTTTTTAGTAGATTTATTGAAGGTAGTTACCCAAGAACGGGCTCTCGAACCTGATCGCTGTTCGTGTGTGTGTGTGTGTGTCCAGGACAGGTGCTATTCATGTAGGTGACCGGATCCTGGCCATCAACAGCGTGAGTCTGAAAGGGAAACCGCTGAGTGAAGCCATCCACCTGCTTCAGATGGCCGGAGAGACGGTGACCCTCAAAATTAAGAAGCAGCTAGACAGTGAGTATTACAGCTCCCCAGGGCCGCACCCGATACGTCCAATACGTGTCCCATAGAACTTTGGAAAATAGATCTCAATCATCTGTCTCTCTGTTATTATTTCATTTATAATTTCCTTGTGTTTTCTTTGTCTAAATCTTTCAAGTCTTTACATTTAGTAAACATTTTCTTTCTGTGGAACAGTTCAGTCCAGGTAGAAAGTCTACTCAGCTCCGGTTTAACATCCGGTACCAGGGGCAAGTTTTAGCAGCCGATCATCCTGACCCAGAGGACAGTACTGTCCACTTTAGAGGATGTGTGGGAGGCAGGTAGAACAAGGTGTTGCATCTCCATCAAAAGAACTTGGATCATTAACAACAAGTTAAATTGAATAATTTAGCCGGTTATGAAATATAACCTGGGTAGAAATAACTTCACAGCATCAGAATCAGTTCACTACTGGGGATCAGGCTCTGCTTTAGGAAGGATGAACAGACCATTCAGGATACCTTCACACTGCAGCCTGAAGTCACCCACGTCTCCTTTTTTCCCATATGCAAAGTTTATCTGAGCTTTTCACAAACAAAACAGATCAATTTTTTTCCCAGTGAGACCCCAACCACTTATGTGGTCCTAAATTAGATACATATCTGACCTGTACATCATTAATACCCACTGCTCACACTGAGACTGGTTCCTGTTCTGCCAATAATACCCACCCTGTATCTACTGGATGTTATTAATACTGTACCTAGTGAATGACCTGTACGTCCTTAATATTCGACCTGTACAATTCTCGTCCTGTACATCTATAATACCCAAGATGTACATCAATGATACCCGACCTTCACATCAATGATACCCGACCTTCACATCAATGATACCCGACCTTCACATCTATAATAACCGACCTTCACATCTATAATA